GCATGACTTCGTCTTCTTTTTTCGCGCATTTATGCTGTCAAATACCTCATTAAAAAATCGCGATGTTTTGCGCTCCCGTTTTCACTTGTGTGGAATCATCACCGATTGAAAAGCTCAGTGATGTTTTGGCGTGTTTTGGTTGGTAATGCGCATGTGCGGTATTCCCGATGCAAAATGCCTCTTCGATCAGCACGATCTTTATCTTCCAAAATTTCAGACTACGTATCATGACGCGAACGCAAGGGCCCGAATTCACAAAGGAGATTTGGCGACAAACCTAGGTTTATGTGCGTCATATGACAAACCTTGGTGTGAAACGCGTCGAAACGCGTCATATGACGCACGTAAACCTAGGTTTGTCGACAAACCTCCTTCGTGAATTCGGGCCAAATAGTTTGTGAAGGTGATAAGTTTTTAGGCTGAAACGTTTATGGGCTTACGTAGATACGTAAATCAAGAATTATGATTTTTTTTTTTAATAGAGCAAAAATATGAATAGACGCTTTTCTGTAGTCAGACCCTATTTAGTCAGCTTTAACAAAATCAATCTAGGAACTATTCTAATGGGCTATTCAATAACCTATGTCTTGTTTTTTTTTTACAGATTTTTACATATATTCGTCGTTAATCTGCCATCAAGTCCAGCGAAAGTACTTAATTACCCAAAACAAATTGCAGCAGAATCAACTTAACTGCATCTTGATTTGGAATTTAAAAAATATATGGAAGAATTTTTAATTTGCATTTAATATTTATTCAAAATGGACGTTATTGTTTTTCTTGACCATATCTAGGGATGTTTAGTCTCATAACGATAATTATAATGTTGTCGATATTGAAACAACACTTTCGATAACTCTTTAAAAGGTAATACAAAGTTTGGTATGGGGTCATGACTTTGGTTCAAATGAACATATTGGAAGCATAGGCGATTTTACAATATTCAATGATCGTTGTCGCGGCTGAAATCGAGTCTAAAGTGATGAAATCTTAGATAATAAATTCTTCATGTTGTATAGCGCCCTCTCAAGACTGATATTACTTTAGCTTTAATACCATGTTTCTAGACTACAATCGACCGATTTGGTATTTAATTCCCGTTTGGAAATTATATATCAGCACTGCATATTCTGAGATTTTCATGGTCGCAGCTACCATGAAATGGCCTTAGGCACTATTTGAAATATTTGAAATTTACCGGGAGCACCGATAAATTTTTGGATATTAAATTTCTCGAAAGCAAAAGTGTTTTAGGGGCTAAATTTTCTAGTTTTTATAATACATCCACAGGAGCATCCACATATATCAAAATTGTAAAGAAGTACTAGCTATCCAATTCTCAAAATTTCCCAAAACTTTGCATTACCTTTATAGCGAGTTCCAATAACACATCAAGTGGGCCTTCTGAAGGTGATTTGTAATTATTAGGCTTCATCGGTTAATGCTTTAGACGAAATATCAATTGATATACCGTGAAGAGCAATGATATTTTAGATCACAGTAACTGGTTCTGCCATACTAATTAGCCATCTTCCAACCATTCTTTATGGCAATAAAATGGTAAATACCCCGGAGACCGGAAAAAATAAAGTCATACGACTACAATCATGATCATAAAAACATAATAATGGGGAAGCTAATGGCATGCACATCAGGTAATCAGATTCATTACATTTCCATTTAAAAATGGAAGAGCGGAATAAAAAAATTAAAAAAAGAAGAGAGAGAGAGAGATAGAGAGAGAAAGAAAGAGAGAGACAGGGGGACGAAACATCCAATCGACAATACATTGAATTACCGTTCATTCTATCTATCAAACAAAATTCATACAAGCAGTCATCCATTCATTCAATAAATCAAACAATCAATCAATCACATAGTTTAACAGTCTATCCATTCATTTATTCATTCAATAAATCAAACAATCAATCAATCACATAGTTTAACAGTCTATCCATTCATTTATTCATTCAATAAATCAAACAATCAATCAATCACATAGTTTAACAGTCTATCCATTCATTTATTCATTCAATAAATCAAACAATCAATCAATCACATAGTTAAACAGTCTATCCATTCATCCATTCATTCAATAAATCAAACAATCAACCAATCACATAGTTTAACAGTTTATCCATTCATCCATTCATTCAATAAATCAAACAATCAATCAATTACATAGTTTAACAGTCTATTCAGTCATCCATTCATTCAATAAATCAAACAATCAATCAATCACATAGTTTAACAGTTTAATCATTCATCCATTCATTCAATAAATCAACCACTCAATCGATTGATAATTTAAATCAACGAATCAATCAATCAACATTCAATCATACGACAATCAATCATATAGTTAAGTCAGCCGAAGTTCTTTCATTCATAAATTCATTCATTCATCCATTTGTTCATTCATTCATTCATTCATCATTCACCATTCATTCATTAAACTTTACAAATAATCAATCAATTACAAAGTAAGTCTACCAATTATTTAATCAATCAATCAATCAATAAGTCAACCAATCAATCAATTGTCGTAGAGGTTTTGTGGTCCAGTGGATGCGTCACAAGACTGTTGATCAAGATAGAGGTTCGTAGTAAAATGTTATTCCTTGAATTCTGTCAGCGCCTTTGGGGCAACGCGGCCACAGCCAGGGTAACAAAATTACCTTGAAGGCGCATTGAGCACCCCCTGAACATCCTGAATGGATTATGCGCAATAGATATGTAGCTATTATAATTTTAGTAATAATCAATCAATAATGAAAATCAATCAATCATACAATCAATCGATCACATAGTTAAGTCAACCTTTCATACATTCATCTAATCAATCAATCACATAGTTAAGTCAACCTTTCATACATTCATCTAATCAATCAATCATACAATCAATCAATCACATAGTTAAGTCAACCTTTCATACATTCATCTAATCAATCAATCACATAGTTAAGTCAACCTTTCATACATTCATCTAATCAATCAATCATACAATCAATCAATCACATAGTTAAGTCAACCTTTCATACATCCATCTAATCAATCAATCATACAATCAATCACATAGTTAAGTCAACCTTTCATACATTCATCTAATCAATCAATCATACAATCAATCAATCACATAGTTAAGTCAACCTTTCATACATCCATCTAATCAATCAATCATACAATCAATCACATAGTTAAGTCAACCTTTCATACATTCATCTAATCAATCAATCATACAATCAATCACATAGTTAAGTCAACCTTTCATACATTCATCTAATCAATCAATCATACAATCAATCAATCACATAGTTAAGTCAACCTTTCATACATCCATCTAATCAATCAATCATACAATCAATCACATAGTTAAGTCAACCTTTCATACATTCATCTAATCAATCAATCATACAATCAATCAATCACATAGTTAAAGGGATCCGGTAACTTTGTCTCAGATTCTGAAACAAAATTCTGGATTTACCTCATGATACAGTGATAATTATAAACATTTAGGTCAGTCAGGAACCCCATGACTTTTACAAGCCGATCGCCTGTCTGATTATCAAGATATTTATGATTGGAATTACAAATTTTGAAAACCGTTCGCCTGACGGTTTTAATAACTCTACAGTCTATTTGGGAAAACGAGTATGGTAAAACCGGTCACTCTAAGAATTTTTACTTTTTTGAGGCACTTCTTGATCATTTTGAAGCGCAATTTTTAGGGCTTCAATGTTACACCATACCACAGACACTGATAACACGTAGGGCCGTGTATCTCAGATTTAACATTGTTAAACGATCCCTTTAAGTCAACCTTTCATACATCCATCTAATTAATCAATCATACAATCAATCAATCACATAGTTAAGTCAACCTTTCATACATTCATCTAATCAATTAATCAATCATACAATTAATCAATCACATAGTTAAGTCAACCTTTCATACATTCATCTAATCAATCAATCACATAGTTAAGTCAACCTTTCATACATTCATCTAATCAATCAATCATACAATCAATCAATCACATAGTTAAGTCAACCTTTCATACATTCATCTAATCAATCAATCATACAATCAATCACATAGTTAAGTCAACCTTTCATACATTCATCTAATCAATCAATCATACAATCAATCAATCACATAGTTAAGTCAACCTTTCATACATCCATCTAATCAATCAATCATACAATCAATCACATAGTTAAGTCAACCTTTCATACATTCATCTAATCAATCAATCATACAATCAATCAATCACATAGTTAAAGGGATCCGGTAACTTTGTCTCAGATTCTGAAACAAAATTCTGGATTTACCTCATGATACAGTGATAATTATAAACATTTAGGTCAGTCAGGAACCCCATGACTTTTACAAGCCGATCGCCTGTCTGATTATCAAGATATTTATGATTGGAATTACAAATTTTGAAAACCGTTCGCCTGACGGTTTTAATAACTCTACAGTCTCTTGGGGAAAACGAGTATGGTAAAACCGGTCACTCTAAGAATTTTTACTTTTTTGAGGCACTTCTTGATCATTTTGAAGCGCAATTTTTAGGGCTTCAATATTACACCATACCACAGACACTGATAACACGTAGGGCCGTGTATCTCAGATTTAACATTGTTAAACGATCCCTTTAAGTCAACCCTTCATACATCCATCTAATCAATCAATCATACAATCAATCAATCACATAGTTAAGTCAACCTTTCATACATTCATCTAATCAATTAATCAATCATACAATTAATCAATCACATAGTTAAGTCAACCTTTCATACATTCATCTAATCAATCAATCATACAATCAATTGATCACATAGTTAAGTCAACCTTTCATACATCTAATCAATCAATCATACAATCAATCAATCACATAGTTAAGTCGACCTTTCATACATTCATCTAATTAATCAATCAACCGACCAATCAATCTTTCACTTAACCAATAAATAGATAACAACACACTGGCAACTAGCTTTTTCAACTCATACTGAAATGAAATTAAGACCTTTATTCAATAATTCAAACTGTACAAGAACATAAATTTGGAACGACATGAACAAGTTTCGTTAACACGTTCATTATTATCCTGAAAAATTCAATTATTATAACGAATCCGACAAACAGCTATATCATTTTTGAAAAATCAGAAGATTGTTTTTTTTTATAATATGCTTTTTTGTTTGTTTTTATAAATTAAAGCTACAAAGTTCCAATCCACGCGATCTATCTCCATCAATGACTTTCTTAGGTGTGACAGCAGTGTCTTCCAGTTACAAAACATTCCTTAAACAAGGCAGACCATCTTTCTCCATATTTACAATATTTAAAAAATATATCTCTTTTCCAAATTCCTCCATATTTATGTACATCATTGCTTTACCTTGAACATGTCGAATTTTACAACTCCAAAACAATCTCGGAAGCCTTATCTTATAAATCAAGAAGCTCATAAGTGCAAAATAGTCAAATGTAAAGCTTCAAATTTTCATTCGAGTTCTTTCAACTTAGGTGATCCACTTTTGACACCACTTCCATAGTGTGTCTTTCATCCATTTTGGCAAGTCTGCATCTAATATCTGCCGCACTCTTTCATTTTCATTGGTTGAAGAAAGGCACTTTATTACTACTATATTTTCCAAAAAACTATGACAACCAACTTTAACCTTAAACAGCATTATGAAGGTAAATAGTGTATACCGAAAGAAGACAAAGAAAATACAGGGAAATAAAGTGAAGTGAAGAATGCAAGAAAGAAAGGAAGAGAGAGAAGAGCGGAAATGGAGAGGAATATGAAGAAGAAAATAAAAGAAGAAGAAGAACTTAGGATAAGGTGAAAGTAGGCAAGAAACTTTTTAAACAAATCAAATGATAACATACAATGAATCTAATTATTTTCAAAAACAAGTTCATTTTACCTTCAAATTGGTAAGTACTGACACGGTCAAATATAAGACATATCTTTACAAATTTGCTTTTTAACTTTGTCTGATTAAAATGAATCAAAATTCTCTCATATACACCAGAAAAAGAATACAGATACTTATATCAAGGTAAAACAATTTTAAAAACCCCGTCAAACTATGGAATGCTCTGTCATGACACAAATTCACAGCTATCCACAAAGGGCAGAAAATATTGTTAACAAGACATTAACAAATATATGTATGTATTCACATTTCATTTAACGTTAATTTCTTCATATTTGTTCAGCTTTTCGTTTGGACAGACAGTCGCACTAAAAGCCGTCGAAAAGTTATATAATAAAATCACATTTAGAACACTAGGCTCTCAAACAAGCTCCCAAATGAAAGTTGTCCCGTTTACCATTAAATCTATGGCAGAGTAAATTTGCACATGTTGTATACCAATGTATACAAAAATCCCAGAAGGTACAAAACTACCTGGAATTGAAAGATTCCACATCAAATATTTCACATACGATTCAAGAGCTGCTCCACGAATATGGATATTGATACAAATGAATATAACATTCAAATTATTACGATAGGATTACGTAAAGATAACCAAAAAATAAAAAAAAATCACCACTATGATTTAATGTATCGTGACTATATCAACTACAATGAGTAGGGTATCACTTGAGAGCATGAAGCATTAAGCACATCCCATGGCCACGCAGTCAATTTCAAAATGAGTACACACTCTGGTATGAATAGAGTACTATAGCTGTGTTATATCCGTCCCCTTGTGCATGCAAAAGACAACCGTATATGCTCTCTCATAAACTTGACATGTTGAATGGGTATTCTGTGTTCATTCAGATTTTAACCCATGTAATAACGTGGTTCAGAATAAACTGGAAACACACATAGCAAAACAAATTTCGTACCATTCTGAAAATGTATAAAAACAGTATACTGAATATATATTTTATGGACGAATAAAGTAACAATCAAAGGTTTTAAAACTTGTCATATACTTGAAAACAGATACAAGACAAATGTATCAAATGTTTTTCTTCAGGTATTTCATATTCTTTATACAAAGTATTTCCTTACAAGAGCGTGGTGAAACATGCTGTGCTACAGAGTTCACTGCTTGGCATGGTACAGTCATCTTCCCGTTGAAAACAAGAGTTGTTTCCGCTTTCGGTGTAGAATAACAGACTGTATTTCGACGTGTTGGCATTCACGCTGTGTTGACCAGCAAAGGGAACCCTGGTCCATTGGCATCGCGAGGTCAGTCCTGTTATCCTAACTTCTGCATCCTCTAGCAACCACGAGCCACGAATGTCCTTGATTTGTACAAGGTCTGTCTGCCAAGGGTACTCAGTGGCTCAGCGTCTTTGAAACTACTGGAACGAGCTACCAGAGATTGCCCAGTGATGTTGTCCACGCTGGTAGGAACAGCGAGTCTCTGACAAAAATCCCTTGAGACCTCTCATGAAAGTACCTCGGCAAAAGGTTTCATCATCTTTTGACCTTGAACAGTCGCATATTTGAAATATTGATTAGTCTTGCATACTCACAATGCCGATTAACCTATAACTACGAGCTGCACCAACCGTTGCTACTTTGGCCAGATACCGAAGAAGGCGATTCGCATTCCCGGAAGAATCCCGCTGGTGTGTTTCCTTCCCGAATGGCCACCGTCACGTTCCCGACTGTCACGTCCGTAACCGTCACGTGGAGGTTCTCCTCGATAGAGTTGCGGTATTTGCGCAGGAGCGCGAACTTGCCCTGCTTCAGGCTACCTACTGACGACGTCGGGGAAACGGCGACAGGGCTGCCATCTTCCCTTGGTGACGTCATCGATCGGTACGGATCAGTGGTCGGTGTGTTTGGTAGTGAGGCTGACGTAGGTGTCGCTGCACAAGGTGATGGAAGGCTGCCTGCGATCGGGGAGTTGGCATCGCGGCAGTTGCCGAAATACTGTTGACGCTGCACTTGCAGAAGATGGCTACTTTCATTCTGGTGATCACGTAAAAACAAAGTCTTTGGCTTCTTGAGGATCTTCAGATCATGCTCACGGTTAGACACTATGGGGTAGTTCCCGTTGGCGTCTTTGAAGTGTTCTTTCTTGTCAACAGCTGCAAGGTGGTTGGTTATAATTTTCTCTGGCTCCTGTGTCTTCTTGAAATCGTTCTGCTCGTCATCAGTGGTCTTTGGTTTGGTCGATTCGTGTTCTTTGTTTCGGGTGAGTCCTGTGAGTAGGCAGTATTGTCGTTCCTTTGAGTACAGGTCGTTAGTTTTTCGCCATGTTTTCAGTTCCTGTAAGGGGATATAACAAAGGAAAATGTACTGAACCAATCTATCACATTAATGTCTTGCATGTCACTCAAGCCACCAAAATTTGGATTATTATACCGATCATTATCTTCAATCTTCTAGACACGACGCAGCCACCTTAAACTTGACATCGATTTGATATTTTTATTGAGCCATGCCACTAAATATTCAACAAAGCAAAGAGTTACATACACTTTATAAATTTAATCAAATCTGAATTCGAGCAAAAACATCTTCAGTCATTCAGTTCGATGACATTCAATAATGAATTCATGACTTATGTTACTTGGCAATTTAAAAACAAAAAGAGTTGATAAGTAATCTGAAGATTATCTGTTTTAAGCTAAGCTATAATGCATGTGTATTCATTACTTTCTCTCATTCTCTCTTTTCACTCCTTTCTCCTCTTTTTAATGAATCATTTCACTGATTTTTGTTTTAGTTATTGTCATCGAGTCATATATGCAATGTTATTGATTATGTAATGTTATAAAGTAATTTCAAAGAAGAAATTTAAAAAAAAATCTTCTTTTCCATGATTTTTTTTTGTTTTGGCATGGTTCAATGATATCACTAGCCATCATTCAAGATTCTCTTGAACAAATGAGAGACAACATGCAGGGGGTGCGAAGACACTTGGCCAAATCTAAAATGTCATTTATCATCAACGACTGATTACTCATCGTCAACTCTCACATTTTCATAAAGAGTGAAAAAAATCTTAATAATCCTTGCCAGCTAGAGATCCCCTTTGAAGGTTCACGCGCCAAAAAGGCTCATATGTATTTGGCAAGCTGCCAGAATGTGGATGCTCGTCAAATCCCAGTTGCAGGATGAATTGTGTATTCCCTTACCTCTAGTCAACATAAGCATGATCAATGAACATTTTAAATGTTAAATTCAGTGTTTGCAGATTCTGCGTTTAATAACGATGATCATAATGTTGAGTAGAATTAGCGTAATATTAAGGAAAATCATCGGAAGACAAACTGTCCAGTAATTGTTCTTATGGTTAACGTTCATAGAACAATAAGACTCAATTGTCGATTGTGATCTTTTGGGAATACAAAAGACAAATCTTTAATACTCAAATATCAAACAACAAAAAGCAGAGCACACTTTAGTGAGTACGTGGGACTACTCCAACATGTGGCGTTGGAATCCAGTGCTAAGTAGCAAAACTTACTTGTCATGTTCAAAATATAAGTAGTTCTTAGACTTAAAAGAGAAATTCTTTTCGTGGGCCATTGATATTCTTCAAATGGGAAAGAGAGAGAAAGCTCACAAATTATCTTCATCTTTTGAGGCCTATCAAAACTAGACTGAGTGCCTCTAATGTGTTGAAAACATTATTTTTGTCATGAAAAGATGTGGGACAGTGGAAGACTTGTACTCGAGCGAGTCATTAGCGAATAAATAATAAATGACATATGCCTAAAAGTAGAGACTTGGAATCCATCTTAGCCATGCAAAGGGGGTCTACACTGTAAAAGGAAGCTGCATTTCCACGATCGCAGTTACTCATAATCACTTGTTTACGTTATGAGTGAGGCGATACAAAGTGATCCCTTTACGCCCTGCAACGGCTTCCGATCGCCTCATGTTTTGACTGGGAATTTTCATAGCACGTAACGATGACGTGACTTGAGGAAAGAGGTTCTTCGTTCTAGTTCGTTGTAAGGATCTAGAAAAATCTCAGTTAGATTGTCATGTGTCCTCGCAAGTCATGTTCAATTTCCAGAGCTTATCTGTAATTGTGGAGCAAGCAACTCAGCGTTCATTTGACACACTCTAAACATTCCTGCTTTCTTTGAACTTGAGGCACAGGCAAATAGCGATCAGTACTCATCTCAAGTGTATCAAAGCCAATGCATTATTAGTCTGAGGCCTAATACACTGTCTAAACATCACCAGCCACAAATTGTGTTGACAAAAGTTGTTTGGAAAATGCCTTTAAAAGTAAATTTGTTGTCAACAAAAACGGAAGTGAAAGAATGAATGTCAAATTAATGGTGAAAAGTGGAAACGATTCGGCTAAAATGCAACAAATCAAATAAATACCACATACAGTACATGATTATCATCAGACGAACGCACTTTCCTAAGACCCCTAAGTCTCGATCATTTTGAAAATAACACGTGTGATTCCAAGAACACAAAAACAGTTTGGCTATACCGCCATTTTCTTGGGGGGGGGGGGTGGTGTCAATATCTAGGAAATTGTAAAGGGCACACTTCTTTTGATGTTGGACTGACCTTTGACATTTACATCTAGCGTGATATCCAGGCGTTAACTCGGATTATTGGCTTAAAGTAAAGAGTCGTGTGTGGCAAATAAAGTCATTGTCAATAACAAAACACACGTGAACATTTGACCTGTACACTTGCAAATTGACGGATTCACAGGAAATGTCATGTCTTTTGGCTGTATCAAAATGTTGATCATTTAGTGAATAGAAACAATTGTGTACTATGACTATGGAATGATTTGGATTCATTTTTTTTTATAGAAAATTGACAACATCTTGCTTATATGACAAAGAACAAAAGGCTAAGGAAATAGATATTAGTACATGGGACTACACAAACATGATGAATCAGATTTTGGTGTCCAAATTTGTAATAAGGCTTTTCTGGTCCGTTTTGAAATATGAGAGTACTTCAAGAGCAATCCTTTTACTGTTTCTTTTTCTACCAAGTCGACTAACGAAGAATGAGAGCGCTAAAACAGCTTTGCAAGCTTTGAAAAAAAGAAAAGAAAACACACACATATATTTCGACTTTAAAGAAAAACGGATCTAAAGTATAGATAAACACAAATGATTAAGGAGAATATAGATTAGATTCAATAGGCCTTCAGGAGGCAGGACATATTCTAGAGACGGTGTATAAAAAACAAAATCAACTTTAAATTGATTCAGCCGCTCTAAAACATATATTCATGACCTTCCGTTGAAGACATTACGAGCGATAACCATGAATTGAAAATATATGATTGTAAAGTGTCAGAGTACCAGTAACATTTATATGCTGTCACGAAGGACTCGGTGTTATCATATTACTTATTGTGGCACGCAGAATATTCAATCAAATTTTATTTGATTATTATTCAGATGGCTGGCCATACATAATCAATGAGGGATCGCATGTGTATCATCTATTCCCAAACTGTTGGTGTTAGCTTCACGATAGTATCTATTTTGGAATGAAAAATGAAAGCGCGTGTTGGATTACGCATAAATCATAAATGCTGAAAGAAATGTCCCTTGTAAAATAAAACTTTATGAGGGTTGAAGTAGGAGTTTTACCTTTTAATTTCTTAATTAAAAAACCTTAAGATTTTCTCTTGTTTTCAAAAATAGATATTCTTTTCCTCGTTGTGATGGATTTTGTATCACTGCCGCAAAATGAAGGATGGTGGAAGGGGAAAAATATGAGAACATAAATGTTGAGCCACTTTCAAAAATGGAACTTTGATGCAATAACTGGAACAAAACAATATCTCGCTACTACTGCTCATTTCATTTCTCGGAAATGAGACTAATCAGACCGTAATTATTGGTTTTCCCCCAATGAGTTCCCTGCGGATCATAAACGATTACCACTCATGCACTTAGTCCCCGCCCCCCCCCCCCCCCCCCCCACTAAGGGTACGCATATGCTCGTTCCCTCTTTAAGCACCCCCTATCTGAGGACATTTCCGAACTCCCTTTCGCGGGCTTTTTGCGGGCTTTTCCTGCCTTGGAGACCCCCTTAAATTCGGAAAAATGCTCAATGTACCCCCCTAAATTCGGAATAATTTCTCAGTAGTCCAAAGAGATGAAAGAGAAAAAGAAAAAACACCCCCTTTTTAAAGTAATCTCCGGGTGAAAAGTCAAATACACCCCTTTTTTAAATTCTCGGGCCGGACTTTGTCGCACGAAAAGTACCCCTTTACCGGACATTTTGGCAACATGCATGCGGTCATTCCGACCCCGGAATTGGGGGGGGGGGGCGGGACTTAGTCTATCACACCTTTTTAAAGTGGCTGCTGTACTCATTCAATTGTGTTCCATTTCCCACGGGGTTGTCCAAAGCAAGTCATAGACATGAAAATGAAACGAAAAGCAGGCAGCATACGTTCGATAACAATGGCCTACGAGTATAATGATGGTTTGCATTTCTTGATAAAACGATGACCCAATTGACCTTATTATTCTGTCGCAATGCTTCTATTAAAGTCAAAGTCTTGGAAAAACAGGCTAAACTTGACTTTATTGCTTAACTGTATTTTGGAGCCTTATCATGTTACTTGCAGGGCCAAGGTCTCGTGCTTTCTTTCAGGGAAAGGGCTTGATTCAAAATACATTTTAACCACAATGTTTTTACGATGATCAATTTACCTCTTGATCACAGAACATCTGTCCATGCTTCTGTGAACCTCAACAACATTTTTTTTCTCCCAGTATTTTGTTTTCACAACTCATAAACTATTATAACAAGAATGAATGTACAGTAGGCTTGCGGGTGTACCATGCGAGAGAGAGGGAGGATTGAGGAGTCCTGAAAAGGACTCTTGGTAATCTTTCGTGAGGGTTTGTAGTCCAGAAAAGGACTGTTGGTATAGTCTTGAAAAAGACTGTTAGTTATCTTTCTTAGCTTGTTTTAAGGAGAACTATAGCGCTTGGAGAATGAATGGTTTAAAACGTTATTTCCGGTTCCGGTGGTTCGTGCATCTGTGAGGTATCTTCCTTTTATGAAATGAACTAGATTTGAAGATAATAAGCATGCTAGGTTTCATAACCATAATAATAATCCCTAACAAGAAAGCGCACTTGAGGAAAATGCATGAACACGGGGCAATATTAACATCGAAATGTCTTTCAATCAATCACGTAAGCCATGGATGAAACAATCGTGCTTATTATAATGATAATGGCCGATTATTTTACATATGTTCAGAATTGAGTACATTATCGTTTGTTTATACTTTATAGCTATGG